AAATAGTTTTATACTATACCAATTTTTGATTTAATATAAGATTGCATAGTTTGTTTCAATTTAAATTGTTGCTTTCGCAACAAATATTCCTTCAATTGTGACCTTTCTTTTTGTTTACGGTTTGTTTTACATGTCACATTTTGCTGGCTTGTCCAAAAGTCCTCTCACGATGTGCGCTCACTTCCTCTCTCTGGCATGCCATTCACGTTGTAAGCGTTCGCCCTCGCATTTTGTTTCTTGTAATGCGACGCATTTATTGCAAATATTTTTGATTTTGGGAATTTGTTGTGGCAACCCTATGGGAGATGTTATTGCTGTTTGTGTATGTTCCTTGCCAAGTAAAGCTCGCTAATTGGATTTGTGTTGATGGATGTACAAACATATGTACATATATACATACATATGTACTTATTTATTACTTAAAATTCTTTTTTTCAGCGTAGATACATTTTACATGCATATGTATGTTCATACATGAGTACATACATACATGAGTGCAACGTCATCTTGTTAATTAGAACCATGCAAGCATTTTCATATATTATACTAATCGCGTTAAGACACACATAGATATGTACATATGCATGTAAATAAGTGTGTATATAAATATGTACATACATATGTACATATATAAGTAAGTTTAGCAATAAACTCGTCTTAATTTATTTACATACTTGCACTCTTATAACATTTTACTGGAAATTGCCGCTGATAATTGGAAAGGGGTTTATTATAGGGGGGTTTGTTATAGAACACTTAAATTTGAACTTAGATTAGAGAGTGCAACTTGCATTTATGCACACGTGTTTGTATGTATGTACATATGTACATATATAGATTTGTACATTTATATGTATTTGTGAACGAGCTTGTGCAATGTTTACGTGTATTGGTGCCGTTGACATTTTAAAAAGGCATAAAAACATTTGATAACATCTTGACATCAATGACGGCAACGGCGACAATATAAGTAACAAGGTGCGACTGCAAAAACAACAACAATGGCATACCCACCCTCTCATTCTCTCTTAATATAAAAGCAAACGCAAGTGAATATTAATTGTAAATAACAAGTACAAGCAGAATAAAAATATATGTACGTGTGTGTTTGTGAAGGTTGCCATTTGATTGCCAGTTAGTAGTGATTCAGTAAAATTGTCTACAACAGAAGCATCGTCGTCGTCATTAACATCATCATTCAACGTCACGAAGACGGACACATACATACATGCCAATAATGCTAATGAGGACCAATGCGTAAACGAGCCAAAAACAAAAGGCAGTTGACAAAAATGGGGTGGTAGCAGCCACACACTAAGGCACACACACATACATATGTACCAATCACCGTTTCTCCATCGTCCTAGTAGAGATGGGCATTGGCTGGCGTTTTTCATGCTGCGAAATGAAAACACACGCAGAAATTTGTGGTTACGCGAAAATACTGTTTATCTTAATTTCAATCATTAACAGAAAGTGAAAACTATTTTGAAATAAATGTACATATATGTGATGGCCTTTGATGAAGCTCCAATAAAGAAAAATCCACATTTCACTGAAGCTAAATTCCAGTAGTAATGAAATAACTGGGTTCAAAATGGTTAATGAAATTATTTAAACTGATATTTATTGTATTTGCTTCATTTATGGCATATATTAATTTATAATAATTTTATTATTGTCATTATTTTGCCCTGCATTTTTTAAAAACGAATACAAAATACAAACACGCGTGAGCACGGTGGGCCATGGGAAAGCCCACCTCTATGCTCCCCGCACACCCAAAAACCCAACATACGCACATTCAGAGAGATAGAGAGAGAGAGAGAGTCAAGCGGAGGCTCATCAATGTGCTGTGCACGTTCTTAAAATGTTTTTGGCGACAAAAGCAACAGCAGCGGGAGCAACAACAACAATAATAACAACAGCATAACCACAACTACAGAGAAAATCCAATTTTGGCAAAAACAAGTGACAAACAGAGGCGAACCGGACGAGCCTCTCCAACTGCGTTGAAGAGGAGAAACAGTAGTTGGTGGCTAACAACATGCAGTCAGTCAGTCTGTCAACCCATCCTTCCTAGCTAAGCGGCGACTACTGGCTTTAGTTTGCTGAGTATGGACCGAACTGGTCAACACTTCCATACGTATGTGTGTGTATGTCTGTGTGAACTGATGTGAGCACAGTTTTGGGCCAATAAGTCACACACATGTATGTACATATATGTATGTGTGTTTGTGTACTAACCAGCCGACAAACATTCTCGAGAAATTGGCAAGAGTCAAATAGTTGGCCACCAGTTTGGCCAACGATCGACGCGCCATTCGAGTTGAGGAGTGAGAATAAAAAATGATGCGGCAAGCTTCGTACAACTTCATTTCAATATACCCTTATATTAAAGCTGAAATTAAATAGCCCTGAGGGTACAAAAAAATTGTATTTCTGAGCTAAGAAAGCAAACTAGACCAAAAATACAGTATTATTTATAGAACATTCATATTATATTAATATAATATAATATTGTTCTATATGTTATTCTATTTGTTAATGATAAGGTATACATAATTTGAGTTTATTGAATATTGTTATATTTGTAAGAATTGTTGCCTAGAAAACAAATCTCCATGGTGAATTATCGAATAAAAAACAAGTTCCTCCACGTTTTTTAAGTTTCTAGAACTTTTTTTCTATAGAAAAGCAAAGTAACCTAACTTGCAGCTAATAACTTGTTTTGAGGTTTTTGAAATCTATATGTATTTTCTAAAATTCTTTACAAAAACAAAAGAAACCGAAATCATTTTCTGTTCAAACCATTCGCCATCAGCTTCAATTTAACATTTTCTAAATCGGATAGCATATTTCTTTTGTTAAAATATAAAAATCGGTTTGAAGACATAAAAAATAATTGAAGTCCGTTAGACTGCAATAACTTTTTTAAGCTGCAAGCAATTTTTAAAGCTTTTATCTATGGTATTTAAATGTAATGTGAAGCTAATCTGAAGGTATAACTAATTTACTACTTTTCTAATTTATCTTAAGGCTCTCGATTTCTAAATAGAAACTAAATATAAACTAAAAAGCGGAGAAGGAATCTGAAGGTATAATTAAGGTATAACTAATTTACTACTTTTCTAATTTATCTTAAGGCTCTCGATTCCTAAATAGAAACTAAATATAAACTAAAAAGCGGAAAAGCGGAGAAGGAATCCTTTTAGTTTTTGTAAATATCATCTCAAGACAATCAACAATTATTCGAACTTTGAACCACATTGTGTGATAAATAAGGAAAGCAATTAATTCAGTGGAAAGTACGAGGCACAAACATACATACATATACACACTATACACTATATACAAATATTGAACTATGGGCATTAGGAAAGTCAGCCAATGCCAGTGTTGTGTACAAGTATGGGTATATACGTACATATACTAACATCTGTATATAGATGCGTATATACTTTGTGTTGCCGTATTTATGCGCTCACATTGCAGACGTTTTTAATGTCTTTGCAGCTTCTCTTCTCTTTATCTTCATGTACGCATTTTATTTGTTTGCTTGTTGTCTGGCTGGCTGGCTGGCAACTGCAACAAATGAGGCGTCGATTGCAACAACAAGAAGAACCAAACAAGCAACGGCAACAGCAACATGGCGGGCGACTTTAAGTGCAACGACTCAGATGGTTTTATGCCACAACACAGTTGGCTTTTCTTCTTGCATATTTTTGCATCGACTTCCATAAGCATATTTTCCTATTTCTCAATAAAAGGCAAAGAATCTGACATTTTGTTTAATCCCTGCAAATATCCACTGAAACCTCAAGCACACAAAATAATGAAGTATAAAACAAGCAAACAAACAAAGGCGAAGAATAAGAAATCTATTAGATTTATATAATATTCTTGCGTTTGCCTTAAAGCAAGTCACCAAAACTAAGTTTATTTGGAAATAGAGTAAAATAAATTTGTATGCTGCCTCTACTGTTTTTAAAATTCGTCGTTTGAAAAACTAAACTATAAATGAGAATTCCACACAGACCTAAACTGGAAACGTTCCTCGAATTCTTCTATTAAATGCCAAGAAAGCGATGAATAACCGAATTATTCATGTAAATGAAAAGGGCTACTTCAGCAATACTTCGTTAAGGAATTTTTTTTTAAATAGTGGTACTTCTGCGTTAAATTTAAGAAGTTTCCAAACCCCATATGCCTTTTTTCGAGCGCATTTGGCTAATCCACAAATACATTTCGGAACATATCACAATCCCAAACATCTGTCAATTCTGCAACGCTAATACTCTACCCCAGTATAGCATTTATTTATTTAACAGTCGCAGGCAGAAATACTTTGCAACTAAAGACAAAGATTCTCAAATAGTTTCTAAAGGTATCAAATCGAATCCAGAAATTACAGAGTTCCCATTACAGCTTTTCTTTATATAGTAAATAAATCATGTAATGAATTGTAATTTCTTCTAAGCTATACACATATATGAATAATTAAACAAATTTAAAAGTATATTAAGTTGAAAAATTAATTGAACTATACTGTACACTTTATTGAATGGAAGCAAACCAATAGAGTGACAAAAGTATTTTTTATATCGCAATCAGCTGTCGGGTTAATATCCTTGTAACGAACTTCTCAACTGTATTTCACTGTAGAGTGTGTATAGAGGAGCTGTTTTACTAAATTAATTGCAAATCGAAATTTATTTTAAAGTGAAAACATAATTACTTCCAATATTCAAGTGCACGTGAACTCATTTTGTATTTTCTTGATTTCTTGGTTAGGTACGGAACAGCTGATCGAAAAAACAACACAAGAAAACCAAACGAAACAAATTCATTTTTAAAGCTTTTATTAAAAGTATAAGGAGGCCTAAGTATTGGTAATTTAAGGGCCTTTGCATTAGCAATTCGATCACAGAGTATTTCTATGTTTTTTGAACGCTTTATCCAGTCAAAAAACTTTTCAGATTATAAGCAACTGGACTTACCTCATCAGCAGCTTGGATGGCGGCCATGAAGAGTCCGATCAGCATAAGGATGAGCATATGGTTCCTCGACTGCATTTTGATAGCGTAGAGTGTGTGGGCGGTAATGCAGATTTTTAAAATAGTTTAATCCAAATGCTTAGTGAGCAAGCGGTGGCAGCATACAGCTTATTTGTTTCACAAAATTTGTATTTAGTTAACTTTGATTTTTGTAAATGCAATACAAAAGTTGTCTTTTGTATTTTGTATTTATTTTTCTATTTCTTCATATACAATATATGCGAATGGAAAACTGGTTTCACACACGAAATACGCTAACGAATTGGATACATACATATATATATAAGCACATGGTTGTTGCTGGGCAATTAAAACACTTTAAAACAAACACAATACATTTGCCAATGACATAAACATTGTAGATTTCGGGTAATTTATCAATTAAAATCGAAACAAAGCGGCGCGCGTACGTAAATAAAGCGAATTACATTCGCGTGTGTGTGCGTGTGTTCTGAGTGCATGTGTGTGTATGACGATCAGGGCAATAGAATTACATTTGTATTGTCTTAAATGTTGTAAATTAACAACAATTTTTGTACGCGGCAAAAATCAAAGCATTCTAGAGGCAGTCGGTTAGTGTGATGGTCAGCGAGGGAGGCGCGAGTGTAAAGAAGAATAAACAAAAAGATTACTGCATCAAGAAGCAGAAGAGGAAAAGAAGCGCAAAAACAAAACACACGATAAAGTGTGTGTTAGATAAAGTGAGATAGAAGACAACAAGAGCGCAACGCGGTGACTTGATAGTGTATGTATGGTATGTGTGTGTGCGTGGGATTTTTGGTGGTGGTATTGGTATTGGCGATGAGCAACTACCACAGAACTGTAGAATTTCCGCAGCCAAATTAAAGTAATTTAATAATATAAATTATTTAAATTAAGTAAACAAATAAATAAATATTTGTTATTAGCGATATGAAAAAAATTTGCTACAAGTTTGTTTTCCACGACGATGCCAAAGACAACACACGTTTGAACGCCCACCTCGTCTACCTACTCTCACAAACAGACACACACACACGCACACACAGGCAAGAGGCGGCAACGAGACACACGCACACAAACGCAATTCGATGCGTCGGTTTCTTTTTGTTTTTCTATTTATTGCTTTTGAAATGTTCGCTTGCAACTTTTTTCGTATTTATGTTTTTGAACTAATTGGTCGCACCTTTTATTTAAATTGAACTTAGAATGCTTTGCGCACTCGTATTACAACAAAACGGTTGTAACTAATTATGCATTTATTGTAAAAATTTCTTTACATCCGTGCAGAAACCCTCCGCACACAACCTCACGGACAAAAACCGAGAACACGACTGATGGCATCGATGAACGATAGGTTTGCACCAGCGACATTGTCACTATTACAAAAATCGCGTATCGAAAAGTCACAATATTTCCCTCGATAGCTACACACCTAATGTAATGTAAATAAATAAAGAAATCAATTTGTAAACAAGTACAAATAACATTAACATTTTGCTATTACACATTTAGTTCAATGGACCGAAAGTAAAAATTAAATAAGTCACAAGGTGTTTGCTTGCTGGTCAATATGTAAATATACAAAATGTTGCTGTAACGGTATTTCCAAAACATGTAGAATTATTCCAAACGAGTTGTTTACTTATAAACATGGCATTACATAGATTTATTTACATATTTGAAGTAAATGTGTTCCGCGGCAACAAATTTTGAATTCTTGAAATACCTGCAGCAAGTTTGGACACACTTGACTTTAATATCGATAATTGGAAAGTGTCTTATCGATAGTACTATCTAACATTGCACATCTCAATCGTATAATGTTTTTGCAATACAGTTATTAATTTGAGCAATAGGAGCTTAATTTAGGGTAAATATAGCGCTTGAAAATGCAATCTCTGTATTTCTCAACATGCGCAATACACATAAGCATTTGAATTGGCTATCAATTCGCACGATTACGCTCCAAATCACGTGAATCATCACAGTATTTATTTGCTTTGTTTTTGTTGCTGCTTTTTCTTGTTTGGTCGTTGGCGCCCCACTCCCCCGCAGGGTGAAAATTTTCAGCAAGCTCGGCTCAGCATCTATTACGTCTTTCGCTGCAGATTAAATGTAATCCCATTAAACATGGATCTAGTGGATATAGATCAGGTCTTGGATAATTTGGAACTTCGCGTTGCCGAAGATGAGAAACAAAGCAGGAACGCTGCCGCAGCAGCAGCTGCACTCGCTGCTGCGCCGAGTGTGGGCGCAGAAACCCGACCCCTGGGCGATGGCGCCAGCAGCAGCGCTGGCTGCAGCAATGTTAGCAATGGTGTGCCCAAAAGTTTTGTAGGCGTCTCGCACGTATTTAACAGCCTGGACGACTATCGCAAGGATGTGAAGAGCCTGGAAACGGTGACAAATCAGAATTACAACTGGCAGTTGAGTGAGGCTGGAAATATTATTGATGGTGCCAATGATGAGGATGAAGCTGATGCAAAGGACGACGACGATGCCCTCAACCAGGAGGACATAAACAAGTACAGCGAAGCATTGGAAAAACAACCAAAACTGCAACTCACCCAGGATGGCGAAGCAATTGTCTCATCTTCGGAATCGCTGACGACATCATCCTGCTCGACGTTCTCGTCGGGACCGTCGCCCGGCAACTCTGAGGAGTTGACGACACCGCCCCAAAGCGAAAAACCCAGCGCCCTTGAGGTGCTGCCTAATGTTGCAGGCGCCAAAAACGAGCCCAGAGCAGTCGAGGATTTGGCCATTGGCCTGTCCTCAATATCCATTACTAACACCTCCGAGTCGCAGTCCATTTTGCCATGCGAAGTGACTGCCTCCTCTGCATTAGGCAAGGTGCTTAATGAGCTCTCAGCTGTGACAGAAACAGAACTAAATACCCAAAGCCAATTACAACAGGGCAAAGGATTGGCAGATACTATGCCGTTGGTGAGTGGACGACAAAAAATTTAATTATTTATTTTTCAAATTCGCTGTTCGTTCTTTACAGGATCCAACTGTGAACGCAAAACCACAAAAACAGCAACAAGAAGTTCCACCAAAGCGCAGCCAGCCCATTACCTTTTGCTCGACGATGGACGAAATATCGGACACTGAGCTGGACAGCATGTTGCAAGAGATAGATATCGATGATGCTCAAGAAGAGTTGGTCCCTAGACGTGGACCGCACGAAATGATTGACGATGATGATGATGGAGATTCAACCTCGCCGGCTACTGAGGAGGAGTCGGTGCGCATTCTTTCCGAGCAAGAAACCGCATCTGCCGAGCAGATGAATGTCGACAACTTCTCACAAGCATCGACTGTGGAGTTTGCAGATTTGCGCGCTCAAGAATCAACACCGGTAACAGTCATGGGCGAGGATATCGCATCGTCTTTTAGCAGCACCGAATCCTCGCTCTCGGGTCGGAAACTAGAAGATGACGAGGGTGATGAAATTCTAGCCACCGATGCACTCGAAACGCAGGAACAACGCCCAGAGCGACCCACAACTCTCGATCTGAACAGCTGCAATACACAAATGTATGTCAATGCCGGACAGACGCCACCGGGGGAAACGATTCAATCAAGCGATGAGACGGTCCCACCTGTTGAGGATGTGGAACCCAACTCACATGAGTATCAGGAACAAGCTACTGCATCCGCTAATACGAATGATAGTCCTATCTATGAGGCCGTCGGCTACAGCGATCCGTTTGCCAATCTCGGCAAAGTTCCCCCTATCTGGGTGCCCGACAATATGGCTACCGGCTGCATGCAGTGTCAGCAGAAGTTCACTATGATTAAGCGACGACATCATTGCCGTGCTTGCGGCAAGGTGCTCTGCTCCGTCTGCTGCTCGCAGCGTTTCCGCCTGGAATTCGCCAACGAGCCGGAGTCGCGTGTGTGCGTCCAATGCTACATGATCCTCTGTGAGCGTCAGGATGCGCAGCAAGTTGATAGCAGCGGCAGCGGCGGTGGAGGAGGCGATGAGAGCTCCGAAAATGCTGACGCGCTGCCACCAACACCAATGCGTTCGCCAAATCCAAACAATCCGATGGAGTACTGCTCGACAATACCGCCGCACCGGCAGGTAAATGCAACCCCGGGCGCTCCGCCACCCAGCGTAATTGTGCCCGTCGGCGTGCTGAAGAAGAACAACGACAGCTCATCCAACTCGTCAAACTCCAGTGGCAAGAAGGCGCGCAAGCGAAAGAGCGTCATGTTCAGTGATGGCATTGCGCCCGGCAGCGAATTGGCCGGCGCCATGGAGCAGCAGTGGAGCGAGGCAAAGCAGGCACGACGTGGTCATCATAGCGATCGTACAAATCGATCCAGTGCCAACAACAAGCCGCCCACACCAGGCACCAACGAACCGCGCAGTATTGACACCACCACAATGGGTCTAATGGCGTCCCTATTTCGTGGCTCCATACCGCCAACTGCTGCTGTCGCAACCCTAGCAGCTGCTGAAGCCGGCCACACTAATGCAAACGCCGGTAATTTCAAAATTTCAATTCCTCTTAAAAACGGCGTTTCTAATTCGATGTTCTTTGCACAGAATCTCGCGTTGCATCGCAGAATTCGCCACGTCGCAAGGCAGAGCCAACGCGCAATCGAAAGCTGCCCAATGGCGATGCCCAAGGTTGTTTCATTCCGTATGATGAGCACGGGCTACCGCCCATTTGTTTGCCCAGCCGCGAGGCTACTAACTGTGATTTCGAGTACAAGGATGTGCGCAACGATGCGGAACTACTGGACCGTCTGCAACGTGAAACATTAAAGTTTATAGTCAAGAACAATTTCTTTGTCCTGGTCAAGATAATCAATTGTGAGTAATAATCTATGGAAACTATTTTATGACTTCTCATAGGCTAAAATGTGTTTGGCAAACACTAGAGTTTCATCCTACGATAGACATGGACTGATTTTTCAATTACTTTTCAACTTGCTATAAATTTCTCTTTTAACTCCAACACGAACTCCAACACAAATACAATTCCTAACTGTTCTATACATCATACATTATCACTAAAACTTGGTGGTTTTAAGTTAATTACTATATTGTACCTATTTGTAGACATTTTTCAACGTAAGAGACAAAAATTTATTTAAAAAATTTTATTTTTGCGAAAAACAAAAGATTTGTTCTTAAAACTTAAATAGTCTCTGAAGCAGTGGAGGCCAATTTATTAGACAGTCCGGTAATCTAGGCTGTTCATTTTTTAAGAACAGCGCATTAAACAAATATATTTAGACTTTAAAAATCTTGCCCAGCTGTAATTGATAAAGTGTTTAGTGTTTCTTTTTATAAATTACACTGAAGAATTCAGCCAAAAGAATGTACAAATCGTAGCCCTTACACATATTCCAAAAAAAGTCAGGAATAATCTTACAAGCAATTCAATCAAAACTAATAGCAATTCCATTTTAATAGTTAGTTTTTGCTAATATCTTTATAAAGTAAAGCGTTTGTGAGCCTACTTGTACATACTCTTTGCAGATCTGACCCTAGCTTTATAAGTAATTCTTAAAACTTAAATAGTCTCTGAAGCAGTGGAGGCCAATTTATTAGACAGTCCGGTAATCTAGGCTGTTCTTTTTTTAAGAACAGCGCATTAAACAAATATATTTAGACTTTAAAAATCTTGCCCAGCTGTAATTGATAAAGTGTTTAGTGTTTCTTTTTATAAATTACACTGAAGAATTCAGCCAAAAGAATGTACAAATCGTAGCCCTTACACATATTCCAAAAAAAGTCAGGAATAATCTTACAAGCAATTCAATCAAAACTAATAGCAATTCCATTTTAATAGTTAGTTTTTGCTAATATCTTTATAAAGTAAAGCGTTTGTGAGCCTACTTGTACAAACTCTTTGCAGATCTGACCCTAGCTTTATAAGTAATCACAGCATTAGTATACGATTAGATCGTTCATAATTTGTCAATTGTTTGTCTTTTTCAGTGAGCTGCTGCATGAACTGCTGGGTCCTTAACTTTACCACCTCGGGCATGCATCATGTGGGCAACGATGAGGTCATTATTTTACTGGAAATTAAAATTCCGCAGAAGGGTGAAACTCTGAAAGAGCCGCCCGTGCCGCGGGACATCTTTCAGCATCTTTACGAGCTGTACACGGAAGCGGAACATGCGCGTGCCACCGTCGAGCTGGACTTCTCTAGTCCACGCAATGCCAATTTTTTGGGCTCACGCGAACATGGTGGCTTCATTTTTATTCGGCCCACCTATCAATGTCTGCAGGGCGTTATTGTGCCGGAGAGTCCGTATCTGGTGGCTGTGCTTATACATCGGCATGAGGTGCCGTGGGCCAAGGTTCTGCCGCTCCGTCTAATACTACGTCTGGGCGCACAATATCGCTATTATCCGTGTCCGTTGATCTCGGTGCGTAATCGCGAGTCAGTGTATGCTGAGATCGCGCAAACCATTATCAATTTTTTGGCCGATTTTCGCAATTACTCCTATACATTGCCCGCCGTTCGGGGCCTCTACATACACATGGAGGATCGCCAGACAACAATCGTAATACCGCGTTATCGCCACAGTGACGTCATCAAGGGCATTGACAATGCCAGCGATCACATCTTGGCCTTTGCCGGCAACTTCTCGAAAGTGGCCGACGGCCACTTGGTGTGCATGCAGAATGTGAACGATGATAAAGCGGAGATGTACTCGTATTCCACGCAGGCCATCAACATCCAGGGCCAGCCAAGGAAGGTGACGGGCGCCAGCTTCTTTGTGCTAAACGAGGCGCTCAAAACGAGCAGCGGCCTAACGGGCAAATGCAGCATTGTGGAGGATGGTCTGATGGTGCAGATACTGCCCACAAAAATGGAAGAGGTGCGCAACGCACTGCGAAATCAAAATGATATTAATATCGTTTGCGGCCCCATTGGCGCCACTGAGGAACAAACTGAAATTGTCAGCATCAAGTGGGTGGACAATGAACGCGAGATCAATGTGGGGTAAGATTTCGCCAAAACAATCAGGCCTGTTTCCATTTTGGAATGCGAGTCGAAATGAATTTAATTTCAAATTGGGTTTCCATATTTCTCCAATCTAATACATAACTCCATCAATTTTGTATTGTAGCGTAAAGTCTCCCATTGATGACAAGCCCATGGATGGTGTGGCCAACATTCGGGTGCATGGCACTTTAAACTATTCCAGTACTAACTATATTATACGTCTGACCGACGTATTTATACTCAAGGTAAGTTCCAAAAAAGGTTCTAGAAAAATTATTTGACAAATGTAAAGTAATTAAAATGAAGAAATGTTTGCTCTTGAAGTTTAGGGGCGGCAAAACAAATAAAAACAAACGATACAAGTTCTAAGATATTAATTATGATATATAAATTAAATACTTACATTTTAAACAATGAATGTATTTTTTTTTCAGTGTGATGACTGGTATGCAACAAATGCGGAAAACTTCTCGGACATTGCGCGCATATCGGAACAGCTTGCTCGAAGCAGTGCGATGGCTCTGCTTCCATTCCTCGACCTGCTGGCAGCTGCAGGAATATCAAAAATTGGCTTACGAGCCACGCTGGATCAAGAAAATGTAAGGAATGTTTGCTTATTGTAACGTCATAATACCTTATTTGTACCGTTACAGGTTTGTTACGAGGCGGGTGCTCGGGGCTCCAAGCTGCCGCCACTCTATATGAACGCTTTGGACAACCATTTGATACCCACATTACATGGCGAGTCCTCTGGCGTTGAGGACTCGATCATATTGGAACTGGTTTTCCATATACTAAACTCTTAAGTTTCACGCGGCAATAACAAATAGGAACCGGTGTACTTTACGTGTATCGTGTACTCTACGAAGCAGAACACAAGAATACTTTTACCTTTTAAACCATTGGTTGAACGCGTTGGACAACCATTCGATACCAACATTACGCGTTGAGGATTCGATCGATCATTTCGGAACTGGTTTCCCATACATAGAGTTCTTAAGTTTCTCGGGGCAATAGAAATTGGAACCGCTGTACTTTCCGTATACCGTGTACTCTACGAAGCCGAACACAACAATACTTTTACTCTTTATAACCACGCTCTAGTTATGTAAGCAACAAAGTGATGAAGCGATGTGCTCTCCGATGCGACGACAGGCCTTGTTTGTTATCGTTACATTCTCCTGAACAGTTGCGCAAACAATTTGCGCTCACATCGATGACAGTTATTGTATATAAATAAGTAGTCCATGAAGAATCGGTGTTATGTTTGTTTAGAACGCCATACAGTGCGTCTATTATATGAAATTCGTATTTAATTTTCAGTCTTTTCTAATTTAATGTGTAAGGACACAGAACATAAATGTGTTAGTCATTATCGCGTACAATTTTTCAGTTTAAATTCCCCATTTCACTATATGTGCAATTAAACAACAAGAAAATGTTTTCAAAGTGCTTTTCTATATTCTCTGTATATTTTTCAATATAAATACGACTATATAAATGTTATATTTATGTTTTACTCTGGGGGAATGCGTAAAGTTATAAATATGTTGGGGGAAGCAAATAAAATGTATTCTTAGAGTTTTTTTTCTGCGCAATTCCGCTTTCATTTTCAAGATGGAAATCTACGAACTTGTGCGTATAAAGTAGTGAATATGTATGTGGAGCTTAGCAATTATTGCTTTGTACTTAAAGGGGTCCTTCGATTTCGGGTGTTAATTTACATATAAATGTGGTAAAATTTTTTAAAAGTTTGATGGGCTCAGTATTTTTGCTTACAGATATAAGTTTATTTACAATATTCTATTTCTCTGCCGATACTCTAAAGTTTCTAAAGGAACTTCCAATACCAAATTACATTGGTACATTCCGAAAGCTAGGGCATGTACTATAGTACAATACATATTGTGACCACACACGTACTATTTGGATGCATACATACATATGTATATTGTAAAAAAAAAAGTTTACAGTTGTCGTTAATCTGATGAAAATTGTAGATTTTTCAAAAATCTTTGGAGTCCGTTTTCCCCCATTTGGAGTTAGAATTTTCAAAAGCGCTCACATCCACTGTGAAAGGAAACTTGTGTCCAAATTTCAGCTTCATAGCTCTTACCGTTTGGGCTGTGCGTTGATTGGCAATCAGTCAGGACAAAATGTTTTACATATATAGAGATTGGCGTGCCAAATACTAGCATTTGTATATTGTTTAGGGTATGCCAAAAAGTGGACGGAATGAGGGCACATATAATACAACTCTCGACAAGAACAAATCATTTTTTTATTTGCTCTTCCCACTATAGTCACTATAATTGCAGAGACTTCCATGAATGGGTGGAAGCGTAGCGTTTGTAGCTTTTTATATAGTTGTATGCGGTTTTTATGGCCAAGTAGTAGTATGTATTAAGTCTAATCACAGACATATGTAATATATATTTAAAAATACAAAATTAAACATCACATTTATTGTATGTGCATTTACTTGTTGAGAAAAAATCGTGTTGAAATAAAGTGTTTTTATAAGTATTGAAATGATTCGTATAATAGTTTCAGTTTAACTTCACATCAAAATAAACAGTGAGCACGGCTCGCCAAATATTGTAAGCACCGATTATGATTTCATAAAGATATGAGCCACTGGGGAAGGGTGTCAACTTGAACGATTCGTCCTTAACCACATAATTGTCGATGATTATGCTATGCTGTTGGCAAACAAGACGAATTACCTATCTATGCAGGTTTATAGTGTATGTAAAGCTATGGTCATACTGTCAAATAATTTGCGCCCAAATTTTTCATATTAAGCAAATAGGAATTCTACAATGAAATTGCCCTTTGATCTAACAAACTTCTCTGGGAATCTCCTTTTAATTTTAAAATTTGTAAAATAACCGATTTTGTGCAAATTATTTGTTTGTCTGGCCATACCTTAAGTTATATAATTATTAAGTTTTTAAATTACATCGTACTTACATTGTAGGGACAATTGTGATCGAAATTTGATGAATTCATAATGGTGCCATGAATGATCTTAAAAAGCGGATAACTATTCTTATGTTTTTGGTAACGACAAAAATCGAATGTAACGTTATACAGAAATGGACGATACCCACTTAATTTCTTCTTTATGTTAAAATTAACCTTAAAAGAATTTTAATATGTTATTCATTCTTCATTCATACTTCATTTCAATACTTACTGAAATGTTCGAAACAGGCGGCTTGAGCAGATCGAGTTGCATGCTCAATCCCACAATACCACGACCCAGAACTTTAAGATTACATTTTGAAAAGTTCACGTATGATGTGTCCAAATTTTCACACTTCAAATTTGTAAACCTTGTGTATCCTTTTACATGGATAACTTGCAGCAAGCAAAATAAAAACAAACCGATTGGCGTCATGGCTCAAACCAAAATGTTCATTGGGCTGCGAAATGGTCAACGATTAGTTCTTAATTAGTTACAAAAACGAACCGTTTATTAAATTATAATTGTATTTTTAAAACCCATTTTTTAATAGATTGGTAATCTATGTAACGGGTGTCTCAACAGTTGATTGACATTTGTCAGTTATGTATATTTGTGATCGAAAACAATAGAAGAATTAAAAAAAAGCTTAATTCATTAGATATCTGATTTTGGAATAATGTTTTCTTTATTTACACACATATTAAGGTATATTGACCACTGATTTTGTGCTGTGCTTCCATACTCAGAAACAGGATTAGAAACTACAGCATTAACTGATATTCTTTTCTTTATGGCGTGCGATCTTCAATAGTCTGACAATAGTTTAATTAAACATCCGAGAATCGATTAGTATTTAACGTGCTTCGTTTTCAATTGCTCACATTCAATTAATTCTTTAATCTCTCCTCTTTTCTTTTAATTCTTTAAACACTATTTACTAACATTTTCAATTACCGAGAATTATGTCTTCAGTTATTTTCTTTCATTATTACTATTGTTAAACTTTTGGACTTTAGTTGTTTCACTTTCAAGTGTTCCTAATAATGGTATTTTTCTATGTTCAAAAGCTTATTTAAGTCGTTAAAGTGTTGTTTAAAACAGTGCTGTCAAAAGTGCAACATCATTTTGTGGTTCACGGAATAATTATACAACAAGAATTTAAATTCGCTCTTGAAATCAACCGAAACTGTAAATTATGTGGAGTTTAAAACTGACCAAAATGTTGAGCTACCGTGCTCTTTTATAGCTTTATTTTGAGTCAGCATTTTAGCATAGCCAAGAGAGAGAGAGAGAGAGAGATAGACAGACACACATAATTAAAAATACAAAATTAAACATCACATTTATTGTGTGTGCATTTATTAGTTAAGCAAAAATCGTGTTAAAGTATAAGTGGTTTTTAATTGATTCTATACTTTACTTAGTATATGTATTTAAATGATTCATATAATGATAATGATGTGTCTAATAATTAGAATCAGTTTAACTTCACATCAAAATAAATAGTTAGCACGGCTCGCCAAATATTGTAGGCACCGAGTATGATCTCATAAAGATATGAGCCATTTGGAAAGGGTGTCATCTTGAACGATTCGTCCTTAACCACAAATTGGTCGATGATAATGCTATGCTGTTGGCAAACAAGACGAATTACCTATTAATGCATCTTTATATGTAAATGGTCAGACTGTTAAATAATTAGCATACTGATTCTTTTTGATCTAACAAACATACATTTTTGATTTTTAATTTTATAAAATACCACATACGATTATTTGTATGTCTGACCACATCTGAAGTTATATAATTTCTACACAAATTAAATCGTACTTACGTTGAAGGGACACTTGTGATCGAAATTTGAAGAATTTATGATGGCGTCATGAACGAACTTAAAAAGCGGATAATTGTTCTTATGTTTTTCGTAACGACAAAAATCGAATGTAACGTTATACAGAAATGGACGATACCCACTTAATTTCTTCTTTATGTTAAAATTAACCTTCAAAGAAGTTATATGTTATTCAGAAAATACTTCGTCACTATAAATAAATACAATGCTTACTGAAACGTTCCAAATAGGCGGCTTAAGAAGATCGAGTTGCATGCTCAATCCCACAATACCACGACCCAGGACTTTAAGATCACATTTTGAAAAGTTCACGTATGATGTGTCCAAATTTTCGCACTTCACATTTGTAAATCTTGTGTAACCTTTTACATGGATAACTTGCACCAAGCAAAATAAAAACAAACCGATTGGCTTCATGACTCAACCAAACTGTACAAGTATACCAAATGTTCATTGGGCTGCGAAATAGTCAACGATTATAATCTTAACTAGTGTCAGAAACAAATCGCTCAAACAATTTAAACTGTGTTTAAAATAACCAAATTTCCCTGTACCCAAGGGGTATTCTAGCTTTGTGCGAATGTATGTCGAACGCAGAAGGAGGCGTGTCCATTTGTCTGTATGAATGCAAAGATCTCGGAAAGTATAAAACTTAGAATAACCAAACTGGGTATCCTGATTCTCCTGAGTTAACTTTTTTCCTAATGACCCCCCTCCCCTACTCCGGCGCTATTAGCGGGACTAAAATTTGAAATTTGACTGAAAAAATAAACTCGTCCTTTCTCGGACCTAGGAGAATCTGGATACCAACTTTGGTTGTTCTAGCTCTTATAGTTTTTGAGATCCTTGCGTTCATTCAATCGGACAGACGGACGGACGGACGGACATGCCTAGATCGATTTCTCTCGTCATGCTGATTCTGAATATATATACTTTATGGCCGGACACTTACGATCGGCCAAATTTTTGTCCGCCCAAGGGGAGTGTCCGGATAAAAGAGGTGTCCGATAAGGGAGTTTTCACTGTATATTGCGTCATAATATTCGTCTGAACGAGTTGAAGCTTTACTTTCATACTCAGGAACAGTTCTTTTGTTTATAGCGTGCGGTCTTCAGTTAATACCCGTATATCTGTAGGAAAACGCAAATCAGAAAAACAATTTCATAATGGACAATCGATTTGAACTTTCCAGATACCCTTTCTCAATTAAAAAAGAGATGGCAATGTGTTGTTATTGAATTACAGCAGCACTTCTTTATTGAATTAACTGTTTCAATGAACAATTGTTTTTATTTAATTTTATTACAGCATCCTCTGAAAAACTTGTTCACAACTTTTTGCTGATTGGCAGACACAACACAAATTAGTTACAACTTTAAATATAACAACCTATAAATGTATATAAAAAAGTTTAATGCTTAATCAGATTTGTCATATTCTCTGCTGTATCTTTACATAATTTAAACTATGCCTAGACTGAAGTGAGAGACGTCCTCCATATTTTTGTTGTTTGTTATTGTAATGGAAGTTGTACATTGTGGGATAATAATTGTTTGTTTGGGGTGGCTTAGCTTCCTATATCGATGCATATATGTATGTATGTATGTATGTACCTATATACAAATATGAATGACGTTGCAAAAAGGAAATAACAAGCGCCCAGGGGCGTCAGTCCACGCGTTCTTTATGTTTGGAATTTGTTATTTTAATGTGTGTATGTGTAGTGTTGCACTGTATTTATATATATCTATATATATATGTATGTATGTAAGTATATAACTTAAGCACATGCCGCCATCCTTTACAGCTCGTCATGTTTGGGGCCCGAGAACTCATCGTGCGAGATGAAACCGTTCTTGTCCTTATCCTCATGCTGGAAGATCTCCTCAACCAGCTTGTCGTTCTCCTGCAGCATATTCTTCAGTTCATCAGAGTCCTGACCCTCAACGGCGGTCATTTGTTTCTTCAGATATTCACTGACCTATATCATGCGATAAAAACGAAGCAGATGGTAATTTCAAAAAGAAAATAAATAATTTCGAAACACATTTGAAGAGTACGGTTAGTAACGTGTTGAAGTATAAATCCAGACCCACGGATATTTCACAGAGAAGGTGTAAATTATGAAATAAAAAGTGCGATCCATACATAGACGTTTACCTCTTCGCGACTCAGCTGCTTGTCACTGTTCTCGTCAATCTCCTTGAACACATTCGTGGTGGGTGGCGTGTTTCCAATGTTGAGCAGCTCCACCTCGAAGACGAGCGTAGCCTTTGCTGGGATTACGTTGCCGGCACCCTGGTCCCCGTATCCCAACTGTGGTGGGATGGTCAGCTTGCGTTTCTCGCCTATCAGATGGGGACAGGTTTAAAGTGGCGGGTCAAGTGTACAATCGCTGTCAAACTTACCCACACACATGTCGAGCAGACCCTGGTCCCAGCCCTTAATCACCTGTCCGGCGCCCAATTGGAATGTAAATGGCTGGTCACGGTCAAGGCTGCAAGGAGGGAGTGGCAAATGGTTAGACGCTTGTTAGTCACAAACTTTCAAGTGCAAATGTTTGCACGATTGACATGGATGGGGAAAAAAGACACACATACATAGGCACATATGTAACATTAGGCTGGTCTTATTATGCATGAAGAATCAATCTGTAAAATGCTTTAAAAACAAAAGAGTTTCCATTTTCTTTCAACAGAACCAGTTTGCGAAGCGGCACTGATTTTAAAAGACCCGAATTAGCTGAATTTCATAGTCACACGAAAAATCACCCACAATTTTTGATATCTTTGGCAACTGGACCTCAAAATATTATAAATGTAAAAAATATATGATAGGTCTAGATTCATTTAAAAACTGCGTTGGTTTTTAAGATTGCTTTATTTTTTATAACACTTTTCTTGCTACCATCGGAGTTTCAAAATTTTACTTGATTGGGAATATAAGCGGATCTGTGAGGCGTAGGCAGGTTTATATGAATTATTTATATATATATGATAAACTTAAAAAAAAATGCAGTGTTTTTTCAAACCATACTAGTCGGATTCGTTATTAGATATTTTTGTCATTTTTATAGGCTTTTTTTATTTCTTAAGTTTTATTTAACTTAAGTTCTCTATTGTATTGATTTCTTTGTCGCTGAAATACATTAATAATACGCGAGATTTGACTTTTTCAAGGCACAAAACATCTCTGAAAACATTCTTTCAACATTTTATGCCACTCATAAACTTGTGTTTTAGCTTACTGAATTTAGAGTTAAGGCTAGACAGAAGTATCTGATACCCAGATAAGGTATAAGGTATGGAGTGATTAATAATTCATATTGCAAAATTATAAGTACCGAAAATTTACTAGTTTTAGAAACGCTCTTCAACGTAATTGAAGCACATAGGGGGATGGACTTATCTATGTTTCGCACAAATGCAACCAGTCTAAGGCCGCTTCGCCACACAATTTTGTTTCACGACTGTCGCACATAATCAAGGAGCACACAAAAACGAAACATTTTAAACAATACATCATTTTTTAAAGTCTGTGGAGCTTGTCACCATTCCGAAAAAAATATAAAATAAAACATATGATGTGCATAAACGCGAAATTGTTTGTTTGATGGCCTTGTTCTCCAGACACTTGGCGTGCACGCCCATTATGTTAAGCGAATTACTTTAATTTGCTGCGCGCCATACATAAACTGCCATGGCAAGGATACGGCCAAGTCCCCGGCCATTCTGGAGCATCCTCGCGCTGCTCAGGTATGCATGAGCCCGCCGGGCTTGAGTAAGATGTATGACATGGCACAGTTGCTGAGCAGCATAGATAGGCATATGATTTGTCATATAATTTGATGATTATTATGTGGATATGCTTTAAAGTGGGACATTAAGAGCGAAAATGCGAATATAAAAATATAATATTATGGCTTTCGGCGCAGGAGCTGATATGGAATAAGGATTCCAATAAATAAAAAGGTTAAGACTGCAACTCACAAAAAGATGTGAAAATTTGAATTAATAATCTTTGTTAATAGAGCTGGTAAACTACATATTTACATAGATGTATGAATAAATAATTATTCTGCTCATTTAATAATTGAATGAATCTTAGTAAATATTTATTAAATATTAGAATTAGTATCAACCAGCTGCTTTATATCCAAAATGATTATTTTTTGAGAAGCGATTAATTTTAATTAAATAAAACAATTCTGCTGCTGCAGATTCATAAACTGGATTGCTGATTAAATAATGGAAATAGATTTCTATAATGATTGTTAAACAAACGTTTTGTCGCGATTACAAATAAGTATAACACCAAATAAAAACATGAATTGTTAAGCATACGAGTGTGTGCTACAAAGAGAAACCTTTTGGTGATAAAAACAAATTAAGAAATGCATTGTGATATCGCTTTAGTTTAGTAAACACACACATAGACACACACACACAGATACACACACGTACCACTCTCAATTGAAATGTGTCGCTTGGGCATGCCTGAGGAAAGTTGACGGGAATTGTTGTTGGAAAAGTTAGACTTGCAAACATTTTTCTTTAAACTTTCTGGCGCACTCCCCCTGGTACCGATCATTTTTTAATGAGCCCGCTTGCTGTTGGCAAGAGCGTTAAGATTATTGCACTTGTAACGGCAACAACAACAACAACAGCAAGAGGCAGGGCAAATGATTAACAGGCGACACCCACATGCAGCCAGTAGGAGAAGGTGCTGCCCTTTTTGACGACACTTCTGGGGCACAACACAGCCGCCTGTTTTAAAACTCGTGCCTAGAGCTAGTTCTGTGTAGCAAGTGCCCCCCCCCCCTGCCCCCCACGGTTGTGTGTCTGTTAAATATTTTATGTGCATCTCCTGGGCATTTTGCAACAATACAAACGAATAAGCAAACAGACATTTTTACATGTTTCGTGTTACTGCTCTGTTGTTTTCTTTTCTGTTTTTTTTTTCCCCTACAATTTGAGTTGAAGTTACAACTTGTGCAGCCTCACGATGATGGCATGCGGATTGCCGCGAAATAATCCAAGCAAAGAAAAAAAAAACGGTAGAAAAAAGTGTAGCATAAGTGGTGGAGCGTAACCAAAGTGTCGTCGTTGTCTCTGACGGTGCTGCCGTTCAAGTGGTGGGTGGCTCTGTGGCTGCAGCAACCACAACCACAACGGCGACGGCAACGGCAACGGCAATGGTAACGTAACGTAACGGCTACGCTTTCGCCCAAGTGCAAATCTCTTGATGAAATAAAACAGCGTAAAAAATTTGTTTCGAAAAGCAACAGAAAAACGCGCACGCAACTTGCAGGATGTCAAGAGGCAAGTACAGCAGCAACAACAACAACAGAATATGGCAAGCACTTCCACTTCACGTGTCCCATTCGCAGGGATTACGTGGCAAGTGGCAAACGCGGCAGCCTTTAAGACACACATCGCCATTCTAAACAAGCCAAGGCATCTTCGCCTGCAGCGAACTCTGAATTTTTATTGCATAATTTTCCATGAATTTCTAGCAATATGTGAAAATTTTATAGCCCTGCATGTGTGCTGTCTCGATGCCACAGACACGCTCAGGTGATTTGCCTCCAGTCCCGATAATTTATGCGACTTACAGCCAAAGCCTCTCCCTAATAAAGCCGATTATTCCTATGCCTGCACTAGATCAATGTTAATTGTTGGCACAAATTGGCCCTTGAACGTTGATTTGTGTGGATTAGCGCTCGAAAAGGCATACATACCTCCATTCATATTCAAGACGCACAAATCTTTATTATGAGCATGTGTGTCACAAATAATTTTATTAACTCATATTATCTGTTCATGCAAACACTCGTACGCCAAACGTTTTAAAAAAGGTATACAACATTGGTTCCATCATCAAAAAGTTTTCACTAAATGTTTCTCAGATAAAAACTAATGTTTTTTATTCAATTTTTTGTATTCTATTTCATAATATTTTTGTAGAATATGAGAAATTTGGAAGCACAGTTCTCATCTGCAGCAAATTGTTATTAGATCCAAAGCTGTTCCTTAAAAAAAATTCAACTTTAATGAATCGGCCCGTATCCCTTTTCCAATTCCATATTATTTTGGAGAGCCAAGAAGCTACTTTTAATACCCTAACATATTAGGTTACAATATTATACTACTTATAAGTTTATTATACCCTCATATGCTTAACGCTTTATGTATTTTATTTTTGAATAGACAATTAATAGATCCTGACATAGTAAAATATTTTAAAAAAGAATCTTTCATAAAGGCTATCTTTTCTAACGAGGAATCGAGTAGAAAGTTAAAATTAGCACATATTGTTATATAGTTATCCGATTTTGATAAAACTTCAGATTTTGTTTACTCTTATGATAGCACTAAGTATAAAATAATGGTGCTTTATATGGTTTCTAATAAACTTGTTCTGCGTATGGATAAGACGAGTCTACATGCAAAGCTATGTATTCCTTTGCTGTTATGGTTCAACAGTTCGCGAGGCTCACACGGACGGACAGACGAATCGTCTTGCCACGCTGATCACATAAGTATGTGCCTACAGCCTGAGATAAGGATATAAATACTAGATTAGTATGATTGTATGTAAAGCAAAGAAGAAGGCCTGCCAGACTGCATAATTCTTGTTTAGTATAAAAAGGCAGACTCATCTGTCTGTCTGTCTGTATGAACGCAATGTTCTCCGAAAGTATATGAGCTAGAATAAATCAAACGTGGTAGTCATATTCCCCTAAGCAGGTCAAGTTTGTGGTTTATTTGGTATTTACATATGAACAGTGTCCTTACGATTAATGTTCATATATTATTTGTTCGAACTTGCTATGAACTAATCAAAAACTTGATAATTTTAAATTTTAGGCTTCACATGGCTATAAGCAGTTAAAATATATCCCCAATTTATACATTCTAACCCACTTAAAATATTAATAATATTTTTGAGACATTCAAAGCAACATTTTGGCGACATTTTACAGAAAATCAAATGCTTTGAATAAATTAAAAGAATCGTTTAAATGTGTTGATTGTTTCAGTCAACTTGTCCATCGGTCTGGTCTCCTCCCTCTCGGCCACCCTAGCCCGCTCCCGTAATCAAATATTTATGACCTTGCCTGCAGCTGGTCAGACAGTCAGTCAGATAAACGGACGGCAAACAAAAAAGTCGGCGCATGTCAGCCCATCATTGTTTCTGAACAAGCACAGGTGTTTTGCACATTTGCAAATATATCGGGTTGATAAACACGATAGGGAAAATGGTTTTTCCCTTTCCGATACGCACTCGGCGCATTGCATAATTTTCCGGCTGCTGGTATCGTTGCGATGCGGTTTTCTTTGGGATTGGATTCATGTGTGGATTTTTATGTTTTTTGCATTATCATAAAGTCAAACAACAAATGTGAACTCATTTTTTGCGCTTCTCATACCCACTGCTAAATATTTAATAAGTTTCGATTTCATTGGGCAGACACACACACACAGACAAAACTCA